GTCACACAATGAACTGTGAGCAAAGCCTCAAAAAGACCTTATATACCAAAGCTATGAGAAAAGTTCATATTATTGAAAATATGTTGTATCTGTCTGTGAGAAGTGCCAACAGGTATTAGGTAAGAAACTCAACTGGGCAAACGTTCCTGTAGTTCTTGCCAGGGAACCTAAAGTGTGTGTGTGTGTGTGTGTGTGTGTGTGTGTGTGTGTGTGTGTGTGTGTGTGTGTGTGTTCATCTAACAAATGATGATGTACCTGAGTTCAGTTTTTTACACTAATGGTAGTCGCCTCCATTCATTTCTAATGACTGGTCATTTTTTGCCGGTAACACCAAGAGTCTACAAGAGTGGAATAAAACACAAAAAATTGTGTGCAAATGAATATAATTTATTTTGTGTGTTAGAATCCTTAACCTCTTTGGTCAGTCTGATCAAATTAACTGAATTTTTTAGAGATAAAACTTTTAAGTCAGTCAAATTTGACTGGAACACAACACAAGGGTTAAATGATATAACCCAGCAAATGCCTTAGTTCTGAATATGACCACCGACCTCTCTGATGTTGGGCTTTCCTTTGAATATCTCTGAGTTCAGGCTGCTCAGTGGTGGTTGTATCCTGGGGTTCAGGAAAGCACAGCCATTGGCTAAGGCTTGCAGAGGGCCAGGTCCTTCTAATGGTTCACCCAACCCCACAAAAACCTACAGCAGACCCCGCAAAAAATAAAAAAGGAGACAGATTAGAATCTTTTAAAGGAAAAAAAAAAAGACTTCTTTTCTGCCACCACACGGTGCCAGCCAACACCTGAATAACAAAAGATGGATTTTAGACTCAGCTTTGCTCCTGAAGTTCCTGCTGCTCCTACACACACTTCTTTGCGTTATCAGAAACACAAGTTTTACAAAGATGTACTGTTACTGTTACCGTGGATGGACATAAAATTCTGTGTATTTGCACGCGCTAACTACTTGATCCAGACAAAAGCAGCTGTAAAATGCCTAGAAGCTGAGCAATAATCTGTATTTAGTTGATGCCAGTCACTTTTAAGTGTGCACACCAGTTCACTCTGACTCATTTCGATGCAAATCATTTGATGTAGAACTGGACCTGCACCTGGCTGTTCCCCACCTTCAGTCAGAACAGACGTATGTGAAGATAGAAATGAGTAACACCTGTAAACAATGCGTGTTTCAGGTCAATTTAGTCTACATGACACTGCCATCAGTTATGATATACAAGGGTGTATTCAATATAGAACATTAGGCTGTACAACAAAAAAGTAAAGCCAACGTAGACACAACATGAGGGTAAATTTTTGAGGGTTTGTGCAAACTGATTTTGAATTGGTGCCTCACACTTACCTTGCTTTGTCTCAACAGGGTCTGTACGTCACGGCCTTTGATAATTCTGTGATTTTCCACATAGTGAGGAATTGCAGCACTATTGTCAGCTGTCCCATGGACATTCAAGTACTTGTGAATAACATCCACATAAGCTTCTTTACCCTGCAGAGTAATGGCAGAGAAAGCAAAGAGTGACTTGCTGACAATGCAATGACTGTATCCCATATGAGAGCTTAATAACTGTCTTTCTCTAGAGCTGCTACTACATAGAGCCCTTTAACTTCTACGGCTATACTATTTCTTCTGCTGTTACCTTCCAATATGCGGCTCTCTTGCCATACACGAGAGCCTGGTTCTGTCTCTTGGTTGACTTAAACTGCTCAGATTCTTTAGAGATTAGCTGGTGCTGCACCACAAAGCCCAAGAATGTGTTATCTGGTGTATGAGCTGCTCAAAATAAGGCAGACATCAATTAGGGTAGACATGGCACAGAAAAAACAATTGTATAAATATAAAATACCATAATAAAATCTTTCAAGGTACATTATCAGTGTTCAGATCTTTTATGAAAACACATGTTGATTAACCAGATTAGTTGTTAGAAAAGTAAAGGTGAAACATACGGAACATGGTGTAGAACTGCATTAGGGTCATGTTCAGGCCTCCAAATGGACCATAAAGGTGGTGCTTTCTGACCCAATTTGGATGGTTGAAGTCTGGCTCAGTGCCAAAAACATCCAAAATACGAAACATACACCTGATGGGATGGACATCAACACACATATAAAAAGTAACACAGATACAAAACAAAGTACTATTTTATTACTCATTTATGAAAACAATGACACTACACCATAAAGCTATAAACTGGAATAGAATAAAATCCTGACACAGGAGATGGCTTAAAGTTTTGGCGTAAAGTATTCTGCTCTCCTGGGTGACATCACTACAGTTTCATCTCCTAGTCAGTGGGTTTTTTTTTTTTTTTTTTTCAGAAAACATCCCACATCTTCTCCCTCAGAAACACAAACATCAAGCCCACATTGTTATTCCTTCTAGAATCCATCATAACCATCAATTGACTTTCTCTGCTGGCCTTCTCTCTTGATCCTTTCATTTCTATTTCTGTCCACACAACCTTATCCTTACAACCTTCATTTTAACTTTGTTCTCTCCTGAACTTTGTACTCTCCTGAACAGTACACTCAACTGTTCAGGAGAGAACACAGAATGACCACAAGAGGGCAACATTCCCTGTACTTCTTTCTTTTATTTTGGATTTCAAATATGCTCTCTTTGAAACACACTGTACAAGAGTAATGGATTTAGTCACAATTCAGAAAAAATTGCATATCTCAGTTGTTATTTTCAAACTAAAATTAAATGGCCAAATTAAGACACAGTGATAGTGAAAATCACAAATTCACTCTAGTTTTCAGCCTGGCTTTGCTTTAAATGTGAAAACAACAATAAAGTTTCATTATTTTAAGTGTCACCAAAATACAGTTACTGTGGAAATACACTTTTGTGCACATATTCACATATACCTCACAAATATTTTAAGATATTATCGGGATCAGATCCTGATACTTACTTATATTTGACCCAGGGTGAGCCACGTACGTTCTGAATTTGTCGAAAGCCAACTATGTCTGTGTAGATCAGATTTGGTTCCACTTTTGAATTTTTAGATGGGCAGCCACTTCTCTTAACCAGCGGAAAACTAGAGACAGAGGGAGACCCACACACAAATGCATACACAGAAATACAATAAATTCAGGGGAAATTATGGAATGAGTTGAAATGTAATGTGTGTGACTGAACAGTACTAGTACAAACAAAACATCAAACTTGTTTATCTGTCAAAAGAGTATTGTTGGTGATAGAATCACTGGTTTAAAGTGTCACATTTGCCTGTTCAGATTTATTTACCACTAATAATGACACCACGACGAAAAGCAACAAAAGTGAACATACTTACGCCTTCAGAGCTGGTATGGAAGCAGATAGGTGAAGGTTGTGACCCAGGATATAAAGTGTGGAGATAAGGTCACTCCACTGGACCTGCTCCCCGAGTGGACCACCACTGAAGGCACTCTCTGCTATGCGAGTACCCGATTCGCCTGTCAATGCACCAGGATGCACCAGGATCTAGGAATTTGGGGTAAAAACAAATCCATGGACAAATGTTATAGAACTTCCTTTGTCTGAATTCAGAAGCCTTCTGGACATCTAAGGATCTGCATCTGATGACTCAACTCCTACATAAACAAGAAGTGACCCTCCAATGTGATTCTAATGTGTATTTATTCAGGAAAAAAACATTCCCATGTTAGTCTCTGGATCTATTAGCTCATTTCCTGTCTTCAGCATTATTAGAATCATATAATAGTAATTTAGGGGAAGGAGGCAGGCAGCTCTAAACGCATCCTTCAACAAAATTTTTTCAATGTGTCCGTTACTATAAAACTACAAATGTCACATTGACTCTATATAAAATGAATGTAATTGAAATTAGCTTAACTGGGGTACAACACATTAAATGACAACATACATTCTTAATTCTGCACATGGTACCAGACAAGAAATGCAAATTGTGTCAGTCTGAGCCCAGTTCATACTTTCCACACCTGGTCTGTGTGTCTGCAAGGGTCCATAAGATCACGCGTAATGAAGTTTTGTCATCTGCCCAATTCCACAAGGGTCCATGTGAACCCCTCTGCAGACTAATGATTGCACATACCCCAAGAAAACTAGTGGGCCTTTAAACAAATGGCAGTTATAAGGATAGACTGTTCGAGGAGATCCTCTATCATCCACACCTTTAGAATTCATCATTTAAAGAGCTGTAATTGAAGCTGCCACTGCTGGACTTTGGAGGTGCTTTGATTTATATATATTTTCCACTCAAAAATGCCCAAACACAGTAGGAAGTTTCCAATTCAGAAATCCTGTGCTGTCCCTGGGCACTCTGCTGACAAACCTCATGAATAAGCACACTGACACAATGCTACAGTCCAATCTATAACCAGATGCTATATTCTGCAAAAAGTGCAAAGACCCAGTCAGTCGCTTGGAAGCATCTAGAGGAGCCCTGTCCATTTTTTTGGTCCATGCAGCAAACGTGTACCTGTTTGTGAACATGTACATGGAAAGCATAAATTGGCCCCGAATGGCAGTAACACATATGCTGGCATCAATCTAAGTTCCACAGGCACACTTGAACCATACTGGTAGCTGAACTGTCAAGCACTGGAAGATAAAAGGGTGGAGCAGTGCGGGTGCTGACCAGTCTTGTACATACCTGCTGCCAAGGAGGTTTGGAGTACATGTTGCAGTGTAGCCTGAATACCAAATGATTCTGAAAAGACTGCTGGTAGTTTTGGGCCTCACCAGATTTATTCATGTAGCAGAGTCACCAGAGACTAAGTGCTTGTGGACACTTGTTTGGTTGATAGTTAGGGCTTGTTGTTGTTTTTCAGTTTATGTCATTATCTTTTCATGGTACAATAGGCAAAAGGATTGGCACACCTCCTCACTACATCAACAGAATCCTGGCAAGTCAGTGAGTATTAAAAGTTCTTGATTTCATATCTTACTTTGTCTTTATGTAGACTACAGTTTCACCTTTTTGAAAGCTAATGAAGTGTGTTTTACTCCTTTTCAGTACTCGTATCGTGTTAATGTGGCTTGCAGTCATGTGATCTACAGACGTGGACAAGATTGTTGGTATGAAAGAAAAACCCACAACGGTCACAGAAATAACTTGAATCTGACAAAAATAATAATAAATAAAGTTCTATGAAAATTAGGCAATGAAAATCAGAAACTGCTTTTGAATCGTGGTTCAACAGAATTATTTAAAAAAATAAATTCATGAAACAGGCCTGGACAAAAATGATGGTACCCCTGGAAAAGACTGAAAATAATGTGACCATAGGGACATAATCAATCAAAGTGTGTCCTCTAATTAGCTTCACAGATGTCAACAAACTTGTAATCAGTCAGTCGGCCTATTTATAGGGTTACAAGTAGTCACTGTGCTGTTTGGTGACATGGTGTGGACCACACTAAACATGGACCAGAGGAAGTGAAGGAGAGAGTTGTCTCAGGAGATTAGAAAGAAAATTATGGACAAGCATGAGGTAAAGGCTATAAGACCATCTTCAAGCAGCTTGATGTTCCTGTGACTACAGTTGCACATATTATTCAGAAATTTAAGACCTATGGGAGTGTAGCCAGCCTCCCTGGACGTGGCCGCAGGAGGAAAATTGAAGACAGATCAAAGAGACGGATAATACGAACAGTAACAAAAGAGCCAGGAACAACCTCTAAAGACATTAAAGGTGAACTCCAAGGTCAAGGTACATCAGTGTCAGATCGCACCATCCGTCGTTGTTTGAGCCAGAGTGGACTTCATGGGAGACGACCAAGGAGGACACCATTGTTGAAAACAAATCATAATAAAGCCAGACTGGAATTTGCCCAACTGCATGTTGACAAGACACAAGGCTTCTGGGAGAATGTCCTATGGGCAGATGAGACAAAACTGGAACTTTTTGGCAAGGCACATCAGCTCTATGTTCACAGATGCAAAAATGAAGCATATCAAGAAAAGAACACTGTCCCTACTGTGAAACATGGAGGAGGTTCTGTTATGTTCTGGGGCTGCTTTGCTGCATCTGGCACAGGGTGTCTTGAATCTGTACAATGAAATCTCAAGACTATCAAGGTATTCTAGAGAGAAATGTGCTGCCCAGTGTGAGAAAGCTTGATCTCAGTCGCAGGTCATGGGTCTTGCAACAGGATAATAACCCAAAACACACAGCTAAAAACACCCAAGAATGGCTCAGAGGAAAACATTGGACTATTCTGAAGTGGCCTTCTATGAGCCCTGATCTAAATCCTATTGAACATCTGTGGAAGGAGCTGAAATATGCCGTCTGGAGAAGGTACCCTTCAAAACTGAAACAACTGGAGCAGTCTGCTCATGAGGAGC